GTTAGCTAACTGAAAGATTAGCCAGGAAAATAAAATAGCACAGCTATACTATTAACTTGGGTATAATTAAGTGGGGGTTGATATTTATATTGTTCTTTTCAGCTCACCAAACAAATTGTGAAAACCCTGACCCAGATTTGGTTAAGGAATTAGATGTCCTTTTAATTTGGTCAAGGCTTTGCTTCTTGGGTGGTCAAATTTCTGCTCAAATTGTTTTTCTCCCACTGGGGTGTTACTTTCTTGTTCAAAGCTCCCGTCATTCTTGGTGGGTGAGATTTAATTTCTCCAGGTCTACTTGGATTCCAGATCTTTATCTGGTTGGAACCTTTGGAAACGGGTCTTCTCTCTGTGAATACCCAATGCTGGTTGCTGACTACCAGCCGTAGAGTCTCAGGGGCGCTGCAGATCTGTCAGGTGGACGCAGCCGTGACTCACTGCGTCTTGATTTCTGTGCCTTTGCTGTTCTGAGAAGCAGAGTGGGTAAATGCCTCCTTCTCTCATCTGCGTTTGGATCTGAAAAGTTACTTCCTGAACGGACTCTAATCCTCTCTTGGGCACACACGCTGATAGAAAGGCCGTGTAACGCCTCGGTAACAACGATAGCTCAAAGGTCACTTCTTCTGACCTCCCTCCCTGGGCCGTGAGGTTCGGATGTCTTTCAGCCTGAGAAAGACTTGCTCTGTCCCAGAGCCTGCTGGCAGGTGTCTCTGCCCGCCCAGCCCTGCAGGTCCCTCTATGCTGCCCTGGGTCCCCTGCTCCATGTACCTCCGCTTTTCTCTACTTTCAGGCCAGGTTGTGCCACCCGGGAAAAGTTATTGGTACACCCTTTGGTCCCCGCCTACAAACCCTTTTCTGTTGTCTTTCTTTTGCCTGGAGATTGTTCCCTGTGAACCCAGGTCCTCTGGAAATTAGAAGAGGCAGGGGGTAAACATAAGTTTTTCATAGCCTATAAGTCTGTTTCTGTTTTGCAAATAAGTTCATCTGTGTCATATTTTAGATACCCCTGTAAGTGATGTCATATGATATTTGTCTTTTTCTGACTTACTTCTCTTAGTATGATCATCTCTAGGTCTATACATGTTGCTACAAATGGCATTATTTCATTCTTTTTTATAGCTGAGTAGTATTTCAAAGGGAAATTTGCCAAAGGGAAAAAGTGGTGGGGAGAGGGATAAATCAGAGTTTGGGATTAACATATATACACCGCTATATATAAAACAGTCAATCAGGACCTACTGTGTAGCTCAGGGAACTGTACTCCATATTCTGTAATAACCTATATGAGAAAGACTCTGAAAAAGAATAGATATATGTATAACTGAACCACTTTGCTATGGAATCTGAAACTAACACAACATCAACTATACTTCAATATAAAATAAAAATTAAAAAAAAATTTAAAGCCTGCTACATCATAAAAAATAATAAATACATTTAGATTGTTTATATTTATACTCCTAAGAAAAATAAGGCAAGGGTGACTATCATTAGCCTGATGGAGAGGTGTGTGTTTAAGTGTTTGTAATGTGAACTGGTCCCAATTTCTCCGGGTGTTTTGTGTATGAGACTTTCATTTTGATTTGACATATTTCTCAAATGCTCCCTTACTGACCTACGTGGGAAAATTCAGAATGCATAATCATGTCTGAAGGTATCAAATTCCTCATTTCCTTTAAGTTGAAAATTGATAGCTGAAAAGGCAACACAAGTCAGAAAACAAACTCTGGACTCAAAAGCTCCACTAACTGTGACTCAGGACAAACCCTTCAAGCTTGCCCAACCTCTGCTTCCCACAGAATCAATGGAACAACACCCCTTTCTGCTTTTGAAAGAGGCATTCTTGAGCAAAAATACACTTTTGAATAACTTTAAAAAGTGAACCCAATTTTAATATTATTATTTGTTAAAGCATGCAATGACATTTTTCTCTTGGGTTGCTCATAGTCTGCTTGCTAAATTTTGAAAGTGGTTGTCTCTTTTACAAAGTGTGTGTCATTCAGATTAATGCTTCACTTAAAAGCATATACATGCCATTTAAAAAGTTAGTTTAAACTAGTTTATTCAGACCAAAATGGTCAATTATAACATACTATCCTATTTTCTAAATTTCATCTTTCTAAAATTTTCTGAGATAGTGTGACTGTATTCAGGTTCAAACACGTGAAAAGAGCAACAGTGAACAAACAAATGTCCTCAATCAAGCTGTCACTTCCCAAGGCACATGTTTGGTGCCTACACATAATTGTTGTTTGAATATTGATATTGGAAAATTCAGTGTTTATTATGACTGTAAGATAGGCCCCCCAAATTTGGGCCTGAGAAAACTTCCTGATTCAAAATTCAAAATTTATATTTCTCTTTATTTTCCATATAATTAAGCTATAAAATGCAGCTTTCAGTAGCAAAACAATTAAAAAATGTCTTTACAAACCCAAGTTGGCATGTATATCATGCTTTTAGTTAACAATGTCATTTTCCCTGATCTTCGGGACAGCCCTGAGAGGAAGCTAGGCTATTTTTTATGCCCCATTTTATAGGTGAGGATACTGAGGTTTATAGAAACTCATTTAAGATCACATAGCTAAGTGGTAAGGGGCATCAGGCCTAGAGCCCAAAGATCTACCCTTGGTTCTAACAGTCACTTTATTAAAGCCCCAAAGAGAAGCAACTTATGAAATTTCTCTATAGCCCATCACCTAGAGTTTGTCAACTCTGGCCTGATTTCTGGGCACATGTTAAGTTATTCTAAATCGTATAGAGACCAACCTGTGACACCTTAGTCTTTGTAAGGTCTGTATCAGATTCAGGAATAATTCTGTCTAGGTGCTTCTATTAAAGCTTTAGTTTTGGCCACTCTTTATAGAAGCTTAAGACACTGAATTACATATTTCAGTGTTACAGGAAAAGGTTAGTTCCGGAGGATCTGTTCGATTTAACAACCAAGGATTAGAGTGTGGTAATTCATGCTTTGGTGCTTAGAAAGTTTATTTTCTGTCCTGGCTTACTCCCTGTCCTGGCCAGTCCCCTGCACATTTGGGAGAGATGTGTAGGTGTCTTGGCTTAGAGGGCGGGCCACTCCTGGTACAGACATTGGGTGGATCAAAGCAAGCGTGGCATGCATAGGAGATTCAATGCTGTTATTCCCAGATTGCAAATAGCTGAAGGCTTTTGGACACTTGGTGATTTTTATTACAGGACTTCAGAATCCTCTCCAGGCATCCTTAGGGCTCCTACAAACAGGTGCTTTTATTAAACCCTCATCCACAGGCATTTTGGGGAGAGGCTATCCGTCAGGACCTGTGATGTCCTTGAAGACGTTTCTGTGTCTTTAATGCTTGTGTTTCCTTGCACCGCAGAACATCCCAAATTGCTACTGCTCTTCTGTTCTGTGTGCCTGATCGCTGTGGAAAGAGGATGCGCCAACATCGGGCTGTAACTACCCCTTTCCTGGGCTGCCTAAAATGTGGCCAGCCCGCCTTCTATAGGTTTCCAGTGCGCATGCCTCATGCTGCAGTGTTTTATTTCCGAATGGGCCGCCTGTGTTTTTGTTTTGTTTCTCATCACACCTTTCTCATCATCACCCTTCTTCGGCAGCCTGCTGTCTTCACTCACATTTGTTTCCATCTCCCTCCCAAATCTGACCTCGATTTTCCCCCTTTTCCCCTCTCACTGAAAGCAGCCTGTGTGAACCAGGTGGGAGTTTTGCAAACCTGAGACACCCTCCTCACGCCTGAGCGGGAGCTGGCAATCCTGCCAACCATCAAGGATGGCTTTAAAGGGTGGGCTTGGACGGGAAGGGGGTTGCTGAGGGGGCGCTTTTCAATTACTGCTTCTCATCCACCTGGCTACCCCGAGCCATGAAGCTACTGTAATAGTTCTGCTAATTTGGTTTCCTGCACATAAACAACCTGGGTACTCTTTGAAGTTCTCAAGAAAGGTATGAGGAGTTTCAGATTGCAATAATACAGCTCCCAGCACAAGGCAAATTCATCTTTCTTTCTTTCTTTTTTTTTTTTCTGTAACAAATAAATCAGTAAAACAGAAGTTAATTAAAGTGTGAACAATGGGCGGCATTGTGGCCGCGGCAGGAAGGAGCCTGTGGAATTCTGTGTGCGATGGGCTCTACCTGATTACGCGCGGCGGGCGCAGCTCGGGAAGGATCCTGTTACCAGGCCTTTCTCTTCTTTCCTGAACGTTAAAAAAAAGACAGAAAACCACCAACAACAGACGCTTTTATTTCCCTCCCTGAGCTGGGTGATCACTTCCTAAGCCCGCTCTTCTCCCAGGCGGTCCTGGCGGGTGGGCTTGCTGGGGGCCTTGGCAGGGCAGCCCCGACCTTGGAGGGCAGCAACCTTAGGGTCTCTGTGGAGCGTTGTCCCCACAGAGGGGCTGACACCAGGTCAGGTTGTTCAGAACACACGGGCACGGGCTGCCCTTGGTGTTCATGCCATCCCACCCTGCTCGGCACAGGCTGAGAGAGACCCACCTCCCCACCTCACAAAACACAGGCTTGGCTGAGGCAGGCGCAGGGCAAGGGATGTGGCCAAAATGGCCCGAACGCCAGAGTGTTTCAGGACAGGTGCTTAGAAAAACGACTGCCACTTGGATGAGCTCCCAACAAAAAGTTAATGTCAGAAAAAGGTGTAAAACACTAGGAAAGACAAAAGAACAAATAGAAATGAACACCCCCCTCAGAACTTGAGATAATAGAATAATCTTAAAAGGGATGATTAACGATATTTAAAAGATTAAAGGGCACACTTCAGGAGAAGGGTTTCAGCTTTCTTTTCCCCCTAGTTGACATCTGTGTTAGTCTCTCAGTTGTGTCTAACTCTTTGAGATCCCATGCACTGTAGCCCACAGGGTTCCTCTGTTCACAGAATTCTCCAGGTGAGAATCCTAGAGTAGGCTGCCATGCCCTCCTCCAGGGGATCTTTCTGACCCAGGGATCGAACCCACCTGGGAAAAAACATTTACTGGATGTAAATCCAACAGACTGATTCAACTGTGTCAGTCATCATTTAATGACTCGGAGCAAGAGGTCGCTGTGAAGTTTCTGATTTTACAAATGATGGAGGGGCCACAGGTCCAGGGCTTTAGAGGAGTAAGGGCTGGCGATTTTACTTAGATGTTAGAGCCCGGGGTTGGCCACCCTGAGGTGCATCACCGAGGGGCTTCCTCTCACGGCGTCAGCCCTCTGAACACTCATGCACGTCCACCAAATATGTCCACGAGACGCAGAGCGGCTTCCAGCGTCGGGAGTCCTGAGTCACCCTGGGTCATGGGTGGTATGCTGGGAAAGGGCCTCTGTCTCGCCACCCTGGGCCTCTCCTGCTGACAGTTTAAAGGGGATGGACAGCTCAGCGTTTGCTTATCTCAATTAATGAGTGTTATTGCGGGGAAGGTAAATCTGTGATGGCCGAGATCAAACATGCCAACCTTCACTGAACACACAATGCCCTCACTTAATAAATCTTGGCCCTTGACGTGCCCTCCTGGGAACACAGTACTGCCTGCCTGGCCAGGGCCGCCAGCTCAGGGTGCTGCTGTCGGGGGTGCACTGGGGATCCTTGCATTCAGGGGTTTCCTGACCCACCTGCTGACCTAGCAGAACTGGGAGTGGGGATCTGAAGTCCCAGCCTCCCTCCCTGCCTTGGGAGAAAGGTGGGCTGTGGCCTACAGGTGACCCTGGCCAGGAGGCAGGGAGGAGCAGATGGCCATCTGCTTAGCTAAGTGGCTCTGTCTTCCTCTCACACCTTCAGAGGCATCCTTGCGTTCCCCGAGGGCAAGTTTGGTGTGGAGTTGGAAACAGTTTCCAGGAGAGGATGTGAAACTGCTGTGAAAGTTCAAAGTGTTACTCGCTCAGTCATGTGTGACTCTTTGTGACCTCATGGACTGTAGCCCACCAGGCTCTTCTACCCGTGGGATTTGCCAGGCAAGAATACTGGAGTGGGTTGCCATGCCCTCCTCCAGGGGCTCTTCCTGACCCAGGGATTGAACCCGTGTCTCCCACATTGCAGGTGGACTCTTTACCATCTGAACCATCAGGGAAGCTCCCCAAACTGTTGCAGCCTGCTGAGACCCAGGGCAGGCCATGTGGGAGCCTGCCTGGCTGTCCCACTGGACAGTCAACCCTCCCAACGCCGTGTCTGGCGGCCTGGGGTCTGCAGTGTGGATGTGTTCGTGAGGGTCTGCTGAAAGAATCAATGTACAGAAGGGAGCTAGGAGGTCCCTGCTTAAAGACTTCTGTGCCCAGGGATCCCCGTGTCCTCTAAAATTCTGTGTAGTGAGCACAGACCTGCTCTTGGTGTGTAGTGGGGCTGTCAGTTGGGAGCAGGAATTCAGAGGTGGCCTCTGTGGGGCCCTTGAGCCAGGATGCCAGGAGGTCCCCTTGGTGAGAACCCTGTTGAACAAACATGACCTAGAGGCTACACAACTCTGGGAATCAGGATAAAGAGACCCATTACTGATGCCATCCTACTCACTTTCTCAAATATCAGCTTTTGTTGTTATGAGGGTACTATCTCACTTCAAACATGTTGTTTTTGTTCAGTTGCTAAGTTGTGTCTGACTCTTTGCAACCCCATGGACTGCAGCACGCCAGGCCTCCCTGTCCTTCAGTAACTCCCGGAGTTTGCTCATTGACAGGTTTTATCTTCTTGCAGTCCAAGGGACTCTCCACCTCCAACTACCTTCTGTTTTACATTTCTTGTTAGCTCATTCCCTACTCAGTTGTGGGGGACACATTTATTTTATTGAACATCTTCAAATCCCACTTAACAGTTAATACTTCTGTTGTTGTTGTTATTACTATTTATAGTAACATCTGGATATATGGATATAATTTTATTATTATCAGTTTTCTTATTTTTGCTTCTTGAATCCTAATACCTTCTTCTAGGGTCAATTTTGTAACTGAAGTGTGCCCTTTAATTTTTTAAATATTGTTAATCACTTTTTTTAAAGATTATTCTATTATCTCAAGTTCTGGGGGATGTTCATTTCTACTTGTTCTTTTGTCTTTCCTAGTATTTTACTTCTTTTTTTGATGTTAACTTTTTGTTGGGAGCTCATCCAAGTGGGAGTTGTTTTTCTAAGCATTCTTTTTATATAATGCATGTTGAAAGTGTCTCTACAGAGGAGTTTTGCAGTTATTTTTATATGGGTCCTAGTGTTTCTTGACTAAGCAGTAAAGAAACTGCCTGCAATGTAGGAGACGCAGGTTTGATTCCTGGGTCTGAAATATCCCCTGGAGAAGGAAATGGCAACCCACTCCAGTATTCTTGCCTGGAGAATCCCATGAACAGAGGGGCCTGGTGGGCTATAGTCCATAGGGTGGCAAAGAGTGGGACACAACTGAGTGACAATGTTGATGAGCGTTTCTGAACATGTTATTTTCTCATATTGTAGCTTCTGGCATGTAGAGATGTAGCAAAAATATTGTTGCCCCAACACACACATCCTGAAAAGGAAGAGGAACCACTAGAATGTTTTAGGGTGAAGTTAAATTTCAGAGAAGTCACTCAAACACAGACTATCTTGGTGGAGGAGGAGAAAGCATTTGAGAACCATTGTTGGGCTGGGGAACCCATCCTAACCGCCTGAAACTAGGACAACAGGATGGAAGTAGAAAGAAGAAAGAGGGTAGAGGCTGCAAGTTGAGGGGCTTGATGGTGCTGTCAGTTCAGCATATGAAGCTCAGTGGATCAGCAGGATAACTGGAATTCTGAAATTATTCGGCCACAGCTAATGTTGTTACATCATATATGCTGTTTTTAATACATTAGCAGCCTGAGTTGGAGCTGAAGTTATCTGAGATTTGTGTCTAGAATACATTGGTCTCTGTCCACACAGCTGTTTATATTGCTTGGGTGATTTCTAATACTTTAGAAAGCAGAAATGGACGACACACTTTCTTCTTGGCATTTTATGTCAAAGTGCAATCATCTTAATGGCAACACTTGATCTTTACAATGCTTTCTACAGTATAAGCCAAGAAATGTAACCAAAGGCTTCATGATCTGGGGATTTCATTACTTTCATTATGTCAAGCTAGAACCTATAATCACAAAATACCTTTTAAAGCACTAACTTCTGAATTAAGCATTTACTGTGAAGTTGAAATTTAAGTTCCACTCACCTAAAACCTTTGGGTCTTCCCTGGTGGCTCAGAGGTTAAAGCATCTGCTTGTAATGCCAGAGAGCCGGCTCCAATCCCTGGGTCAGGAAGATCCCCTGGAGAAGGAAATGGCAACCAGTATTCTTGCCTGGAGAATCCCATGGACGGAGGACCCTGGTGGGCTACAGTCCGTGGGGTCTGCAAAGAGTCGAACATGACTCAGCGACTTCGCTTTCTTTCTTTTCACCTCAGTCAGTTCAGTTCAGTTCAGTTGCTCAGTCGTGTCTGACTCTTTGCGACCCCATGAATCGCAGCACGCCAGGCCTCCCTGTCCATCACAAACTCCCGGAGTTTACTCAAACTCATGCCCATTGAGTCGGTGATGCCATCCAGCCATCTCATCCTCTGTCATCCCCTTCTCCTCCTGC